AGGGAGCCCGATGCGGGGCTCAATCCCAGGACCCCGGGATCACGACCTGAGCCGAAGGCAGACGCTTAACGACTAAGCCACCCAGGCGCCCGATTCTCTGATCCTAATCTAAGAAATAGGGCCACCAGTGCTACATCTCAAGATTGCTTTGAGCATCAAATAAGACAATGCATGCAAAATCATTTTACTAACTTTGAAATTATGATTATGAATTTTCTAATTTTCATTTATTTTGATAATGCACAGAAATAATACAAGCTATTATATCATATATTACTATCTTAATAAATAGTCAGATTCTCCTGGTTCATACAAGACAGAAATGGCATGGTACAATAAAAAACAGAATTTAGAAATTTATGCATTCATCTAATTTTGTCAGTACATTTTGTATCTTTACTAAACACCCTTATCATCTCTGAAGCTTAGATTCTTCATTTGTAAAATAAGAATGCTAAAATATTTCTGTTTTTTCACTTCTGCTAGGCTATTAAGGATTCTTTAGTAGTTATAGTAATACTAAATTATGAATGATGTACAATATATTCATTTTATAAATGTGCATAAAATTTTTTGACTATATAAGAGGATTTTTATAACATTAAAATAAGAATAAATCTAGATTATTTTTCTCTTTCAAAAGGTTTCTCTTTAAAACCAGCACATTTCCTTTTTTTTCTTTTCTTTTTTTTTCCTGGCTTAATTAACAGAAATTCATTTTCTCATCATTCTGGAAGCTAAAAGTTCAAGATCAAGGTGTCAGCAGGTTTAGTTTCTCCTGAAGCCTCTCTCCTAGGCTGGCAGAGGGCCACTTTCTAGCTATGTCCTCACATGGTCTTTTCTCTGTTAACTATTCATCTTTGGTGTCTTTTTCTTGCCACAATTTTCCTCTTCTCTCTCTCTTTTTTTTTAATTGAGATAAACTTGACATATTATATTAGTTTCAAGTGTACCACATAATGAGTGATTCAATATAAGATATATTGAATATACTATAGAAATGATCACCACAGTAAGTCCAGTTAACATCCATCACCACACAGTTACAATTTTTTTCTTGTGATGAGAACTTTCAAGATCCACACTCCTCCACACTTTGATTGATGTTATTGCAATGGCCCAGTGCTGTCATCTGTTACTACAAAGGACTCAACCACCAACCATTTGATACTCACTGCAGTGTTTATTGTAGCAACCCTGCCAGATATATTGTCTGCCATATCTTTCAATGTTCCTTTTATGAGATACTGTGTTCTTGGGGCCAGGCAAACTTTTGCTTCTTATGAGCAACTGATACTAATTTTTAAGATAATGACACTGAATCTTCCACCTAATCATTCATTTCCCTTTCCTTCAGCTGC